ACCAGGAGGTTGTAAAACAGTTAAAAGTTTTAATAAAACATTAAAAACCTTTAAAAGAATATTAAAAAGGACCTAGCTTTCGTTGGATCCTACCAACATCGTCAGGGTAAAGAATAACTCAATGGGAGAAACCATTTATAGGCCAGCCAACGCCTGCGCCCGGGCCCTAGATCTCGTGACGGGTCCTGGATAATCAATCAATGTGTGCCCCTCATCACTCTCTTTAACTATCCTTGCATTGACACTCACACCCCCATTCCTCCGTGTCCGTGCACCGTGAGGACGCTTAGCCTCACCTGGCACACAAGTGCCATCAAGTTATCCGCTCTTCTGCTCCTTATTCGCCCCCATCCAATCCGGCTCGGGCTGTAACCCAGCAGTCACGTCCCCACCCTCCATTTCGCCGATGCTAAGTGCGTGCGGGGGTGGGAGCTTCCACGCCTCGTCCGGACTATCTCCCTTGTTGTTTTCTCCCGTCCGGCTCCACCTGGCTCGCAACTCCAGAGTCGCCCTCCTATCCTCCATCTCATCCTGTGACAACTCTCGGGCACACACAGCCACCCCGTCGAGGGAGTCCTGGGCTACCTTTCTTCCGTATGCCTCCCAGCGGGGAAACCCCTTTTGGGCACGGCGGGTGGGTCGGGTGCGGTAGTGGTCCGGATCGCCGTGTTATAGCGATCCCCATAGCAGTGGAGTCGGCGCAACTCTCCAAACAGCAACAGTGCCGCATCCCCAGTCGCACGCTCTCCTTTTCTTCCCCCAAACTCCTCTCATGGCACTGGGTGGCATCCAGTGCAACAGCTGCCGAGCTCCCAAGCTCGACTGGAGGTGGCTGTGTGTGCCCGAGAGTTGTCGCTTTTAACTGTTTTACAACCTCCTGGTGCTCACATCTTGTTTCCTACTATGGATATACCCAGGAGTCACTCGTTTGTCTTCAGTGTTATTTTTAACCTAACACAAAGAACGACACCAGACCCACACCCACGAAAACCACACAGGAGGTCACCACCACACATCCACGCAAAAAGCAAACCCAAACCCACACAGATGATGAGGCACGACCGCAAACTAGAAGCCAGTCCACAGCTGCATCATTAGCCACTTTAAACCTCTCCAATCCATACATGAAGCAAACTGACACCCACCATAAAGATGTGGCACGACCACGAACACGAAGCCAAACTACAGCAATGAAGCTCACCATCTCAAATCCCCCTGCAACTCAGACTAACCTGAGCACAACAAAGCCCCCACCCAAACAGA